TGATGATATTGGTACGTGAATTGTCCGTGCAGTTGAGATATGAAACGTGGGCACGCAGTGCAGGAGAAAATATGATGGTTTTATTATTGGCACGTGAACTGTCCGTGCAGATGTGATATGAAAAATGGGCACGAGGTGCCGAGAAAATATGATGATTTAATTATAGGCACGAAGTGCCGTGAAATTATGAAAAGGGCTGAGACCCGTATTTTTATGATTATGAAATGAGGTGTCACATGGTGACTTTTAATTGAAAGAATTATATTCAAAATATTTATTCGGAAGGATTTTTATTTAAAAAGTAGTATTTGAAGGAATTGTATTTGAAAGATATTTATTTGAGAAAATTATATTTGAAAAAGATTTATAGAAAGAATTATATTTGAAAGATATTTATTTGAGAAAATTATATTTGAAAGAGAGTTATTTGGAAGAATTATATATGAAAAATATTTATTTGAAGAACTTGATTTACTTGGGTGTACTTGTATTTATTATTATTGAGCAATATTAATAGTGTTCTTGTTGCCATGCCGGGCATATCATTGGTTGGCTTGTGTTGCTCTTATTGTTATTTGTTTCCTATTATCTTGTATACTATATTGCATAGATTATTAGACTAGTGAGTGTCTTGACTGTACCTCGTCTCTACTCCACTGAGGTTAGTCTTGATACTTACTGGGTACCGACTGTGGTGTACTCATACTATACTTCTGCATATTTTTGTGCAGAACCAGGTATTGGAGATATCGGACTCGGACAGAGTTAGAGTGGGATCACAAGGATTCAAGGTAGAGCTGTTTGGTCATCGCAGTTCCTTGAAGTCTTTCCATTATATTGTACTGTTATTTATTATTCAAACAGTATTGAGTATTCGATCCTTGAGATCATTTCATGTATTCAGTTAGAGATCGTGACTCAGTACTACTAGTCTTGGGAGGTTGTTATATTCATATTTGTTCCGCTGTTGGTTTTGATTACCTATTCAATTCATATTCAAAAAACAAATGGCTTCAAAATGTAATGTAAATCGGCTTACCTAGTCTTAGAGACTATGTTCCATCACGACGCCTGTAGTGGGATTTTGGGTCGTGACACTTGTGTTGAACATATTGAACCCTACATATTGAAAGGAGTAAAGGTAGATAAAAGAGTGTTATTACAATTCTCTATTGGAAGGTATGAGGATGTGATTTGGTGCGATGTCATTCCCATGAATAGTTTTCATATCTTGTTGAGAAGGCCATGGTATGTCTATAGAAGTGCTTCATATAGTACGTAAAAAAAAATAGATATTTTTTTGAGGTTAATGGGAAAAAACTCATTCTTGGGCCTTTGACTCCCTCACAAATTTGTGAAGATGAAAAGATTGGTAAAGAGAATATGGAAAAATATGAGAGAGAAAATAATGAGAGGAGTAAGGGAGTGCATGTTGACATTCCAAGAGAGAAAAAAGGTGAGGTTGTCTTGAGTGAAAAGAGTAGGATGTCAAGTAAGGTAAAAAGTGATCTTGAGAAAAACGAAAAGAGAGAAGGCAATGAGATAACAAAAGTCTGTGAGATAGAGAAAGAAAAAAGAGGGTTTGAGTGAAGAAAAAGAAAAAAATTTTAGTGAGAGAAAAGAGGCTAAGGGTGAGGAGAAAGTTAGTCTTGTGATAAAATCCAAAAAGAGTGTAAGCAAGAAAAAGTTTTCTTTACTTCCTAATCCATTAACTCTTTCTTGTATTAGTTCTTGTGATTTTGTGCAGCCACATGTTGAAAAACCTTTTGAAAGGGGAGGTGAGGCGCAAGAGATGGTGGCAAAGGATCCAATTGGATTCCAACATGAATTTGACAAAATAAATTCTTATTGGATGGTGGAAGATAAAAGGTTGGTTAAATATTTTGTTATTGAACCTTTTGACTATTTTGATCCTTATTTACAAGTTTGTGATATGGAGTTTCCTAAAAGCATTGCTAAGTTGGAGCCATTAAATAAAAGAATACAAGGTGATGATGTTCAGATGTTATTCTTCGAGTTAACAATGAACCAACCGACCAGGATCAAGATCTTGAAACGAAAACGTGGTTTTGTGAACCAATTTCAAGAAACAACGTATCTCAAGTTTTACGACTCGGAATCTGATGATTCAAAAACGAGGTGAAAGATGACGATCTGAGCTATGAGAAAGACTATTTACTCGTTCAAAATAAATAAATATTTATACTGTACCGGTTCAAGGAAAATTATGATTCTATGATATAAAAAAACGAATTTAGATCTAGAAACGTGTTCTTGAATGATCAAGAACTATAAAATTCCTAAAGTCACCACTTGGAATCAATTAACGTGATAAAGAAACATCACATGCAATTGAAAACAAGATAAAGACTATAACCACTTTGCTTGGAACCAAAAACAAGGATAAAGAAGACAAAATAGAGAAAAATACTCTATTGTAAAACTAGGGCAAGCCTCAAAAACGTGAATTTTTGTTTCTACAAGGCAAGAGAACCCTTTATATAGGCCTAGAGTCTCTTCTTTGATGACTACAATTCCTATTCTAATAAGGAAATAAAATAACTAAAGACAAGGAAAGTAAAATCCATATTCTACAAGGAAAAGAAACTAGAATCCTACTAAAAGGAAAATCCTTATTCTAAAAAGAATAAACTAAATCCTATTTTAAGAAGGAAAGAGTCTTGGCTTCTTGAAATTAATCTTGGGCTTCTTGGACTTCTTGTGCTTCTTGAAAATAAGTCAATATATTTGAACTTGAGCTCTAAAATATGATCTTGGTCAAAATTAATAAAATTTAACATAGATTCTTCTTTTACATCATGTTCCATTGGTAAATATGTCTAAGTATAATATGTATAATTGGTTTATTCGAATTCTTGGCCTTTCTAGAATACCTAAGGTATTTTTGGAGGTAATGAACTATACTCTTATTTCTTATGTTAATGACTTTATAATTTTTGTGGATGATGATATTTCGATGCATATCAAGTCATTAACTGTAATATCTAAGTTCAAGTGCAAGAGTAATTTAATGTCTTTTGAAATTCAGTATGACAAAGATGATTATGTATTCCAACTTGGTGCAAAGAGACATGAAATTTATGAGAAGAAGCTTGCGAATGAGTTAAATATTTCTTCTTCTCTTATTCAAGTGTCTAATGAGTTTTCATGTGATAAATTGCTAAAATGTGATTTTTGTTGTGTGATAGGGAGTCATTCTTCAAGTCATGTTCATTGTGAGTTTGTAAAAGTGTTTGCTACTAGTAAAGAGGATATACATGATTGTTGTGACGCTTGTGATCAAATACTCTTTCACGTAGAAGAATCCATGAGATTTGTAATTGTAGATAGTTGACTATAACATAAAAGTGTCTTCTTTGATACATGTGGTAGAGATACTTATATTAAATGGATGTGTGGTCAATATTTTATAATTTCTTTGTCATGTATACCTATGGATTACCTTACCGACAAGATCGAATTGCAAGTTCCATTGCATAGTGCATCTAAGAGAGGTTTTTATTGTATTAATCTAGGTAGGCATAAATTTTATTGGTATGATGATGTACATATACTTTATAAGGGAGTATTTACACCTATTAGGATTAGTTGGTTTAAATGGACACATGATCACTATCTTGTTTTATTCCTATTATTTTTTCAGATTAGTGGATATCATTTACTAGTGCGTGTTTTCTTTTACTTGCAAGGTCGAAATTCGAGGACGAATTTTCTTCAAGAAGAGGGTAATGATATCATCCTAGGAATCTCAAATCTATTCAAAGATAAGGATGAAGCTTTGGAATCTCAAAGAGAAACGTTTACAAGATATCAAGCTAAAGAGTTGCAAAACAAGGTCATTAGACTTCAAGTACAAATAATGAAGTTGTTAGTTGGGAGCAAGGGCTCAAGGATTAAGGATGTGAATTGGCTAGGTGTTACAATTGTTTTATGGCCCAAATTTATGTCAAAGAAGAGAAGTATTGGATCCCAAGAGACATCATTTGAAGAAGGTCCTAATCAGTCCATTTTTGAACCATTTTGGCACCTAAAATGTGGCCAAACTTGCAACCCAATTAGTCCTACATGAAGTCATATTTTTATAATATAAAAAAGGACTTACTTGATGTCAAAGAAGGGTACAATAGTCGTTCTAGAAGTTAAGTGCAAGTCGGTGCCAAGTTGCTTGCAAATTTCCTTCAAGATTTTCAAGATTTCCAAAATTTTCAAGATTTTGTCCAAGATCGGTTTTGGACTTTCAAGATCCTATCCTAAGGTACTTGGACTTTTTGTCCAAAGTAGTTACGACTTTCTTTCTTTTCCAAGATTTCTAAGATTTCTAAGATTGGTTTTGGACTTTCAAGATACTATCCTAAGGTATTTGGACTTTTTGTCGAAAGTAGCTAGGACTTTCTTTCTTTGTTTTTGTGGTAGAATTTCGTGACTCCCTCTCTATATAAAGGGTTGTCTTCTTTGTTTTCAGGGGAAGATTATGATAAACAATATCAACAAAAATTGTGAGATTTTTCTTGCACTCTTGTTTGTGGCTACTCTTGGATTTATTCTTCAACCTTCAAGAATCAACTTAAGGTGGTAAGATTAAACCCTTTTTGAAATCTTAGATCACTTCTAGGTATTCAAGAAAGGTGATAAGTCTTGACTTATTGTTGTTCTTGTTATTCTAAAGGGTCGAATTTCACAATCTATCTCTTGTTTTTAATTCTCTACCAAAGGTGATTAGTTCTTCTTAGTTATTTGTTGTTGCTAGGATTCAACTCCAAGAATAGACTTCTTGAATTTAAGAAACTCTTTCTTGAATTCAATCTATCTTTAATTTCTGTCTTCTTTTTCGTTTCCCTATTTTCTTTTAGCTTCCGGATGTTTTTTGATTTTCTTGTTTTGCTTTAGTAATTCTTGAGTCCTCTATCAGTGTTGTTATCACCCCACCCCCTCCCGCCTTAGGTAGATAGACCATATCTCAAATTAATAGAGCCTTCTTTGTGATTACATTAGTTCCTGACCAAACATAACATCGACATATACCTTCAACTATTTTTATCACCTTAGCAAGGATGATAAACAGTTGTGCCCAGAAAGCTTGAATCCCAAATAGCACGCTTTGAACTAATTGGACCCTACCAACATGGGATAGCTTCCTTGCAGTCCATGAAAAGATTCTTGCTGTAATTTAGTCTATTTGAGTCTGCCACTGCATGATACTCATCTACTTTGTAGACAAAGGAACCCCAAGATATTTGGAAGGAATGTCTCCAGCAATGAATCCCAGATGAAGTAGAATCTTTTGTTGCTATGATGTTATGACTCCTCCAAACTACACTGCACTTTTGTTCTGATTTGCTTGCAAGTCAGATACTTAAGTGAACTGCAGGAACTTTTGGTATATTGTATTCACTGATACAATATCACCTCTAGCAAAGAGCAATAAGTCATCAACAAAATACAGGTGTGTTATCCCTAGTTTAGAACATCTAGGATGGTATTTTTACTCTTTATTGGCCTTGAGATTTTGCAAACTCCCGCTCAGCTATTCCATAACCACTACAATAGATTAATTGACAGTCTGTATGCATTCCATGACCCATGAGGTGAATAGCTGAGGAATTCCCAGCTCCTCCATGGCTTGTTTCAAATAAGGCCACTCAACAGAATCATAAGCCTTCTGGAGATCTATCTTGATTATGCATCTAGGAAAGATATGTTTTCTGGAGTAGGCTTTAACCAATTTATGTGCTAGGATGATATTATCTGCAATATTTCTATCTGGTATAAGCCCAGCCTGTGAATCACTGATAACAGTGGAGATGACAACCTGGAGTCTTGAAGCTAGGATCTTGGAGATAAGCTTATATAGAACTATGCAACATGAAATTGTTCTGAATTCATTAACTGTCTTAGGCTTGGCAGTCTTGGGCACTAGGTGATAGCTGTACAATTTATAGATCTGTAGATACTCCATGTAGTAAAGAATCTGTAATAGCTTCAGTGACTTCCTTCTTAATGACTTTCCATGCTTTCTTGAAGAAGTAGGCATTAAATCCATCAACACCTGGGCTTTATCATTACCAATAGAGCATAAATCCTTATAAATCTCATGCTCAGTGACATCCCTACATAATAAGACTCTCTATTGTTGTGATAAGGTAGGGTCTTTTTTCACTATCTCCTTGTCAATTGCTAGTAAACTATGGGCAACTGATCCCATCAATCCTTTATAAAAGTTTAATATTTCATCTTTGACGACTTCATGATCATTTAGCGTATCTCTTATAAGAGAAGTTAACTCTAATATCTGATTCTTATGTTGCCTTTCCTTGATCACTGCTGCAAAATACTTGGATTTAGAATCACCTAGTTTTATCCACTTTGCTCTAGCCTTCTGCTTTAACGCACCTTCCTCCAACATGTCCCATTTCTCTAGATTTTTCATAAGATTCCTTTCTTCTATTAGTAGATCATTTGTGCATTATTTATGGATTCTTCCTTGCATAGTAATAAGGTCTACCCTAGCTCTTTCAATCTTCTGGTTGATATATTTGAACTCTTGAGTATTTAGCTTCGTGAGTAGTGGCCTAAGAGATTTCAGTTTTAGCCAGATGTTGTTCGTTTTCTTGTGACTTAATTTTTGACCCCAGCTTTGTTGCACAATGTTCAGGAAGTATACATGGCCTGCTCACACATTAAAGAACTTAAAGGGTTCTTTCCCACTTCTCTATTGTAGTGTTAGTTTTAAGGTCATGGTGAAGTGATCAGAAATGTAAGGCATGCCACAAGTAGTACATATATGGCCCCATGTCATCATCCATTCATAATTCCCAAATACCTATCTATTCTACTCCATATCTTATCCGATCCAAGTTGTTTGTTGGACCAAGTATAATACTCTCCTTTTCATGCCAGTTTAGTAAGTCCTAGTACTTGTATACAATTAGTATAATCTCTGATCTCTGCTATGTTGATTGTACAACCATGTATTATATCTTGTGTGTACAAGATTGAGTTAAAATCACCACCTATCAGCTATGGTTTAGAAACTCCTTCAACTACCTCAGTCAGGTTATCCTATAGGAGTTTGATTTGTTCAATAGTATTATAACCATATACTATTGTCAGGTAACAATAAATACCCCTTGCAACTCCCTTAACTGAATAATGAAGTATTTGTGCTTCTGCTCTAATCAAGGTGACTGTATAATAATTAGAATCCTACAAAATCTAAATTCTTCCATTAAAAACATGGCTATAATTCTGCATTGTATCCCAGCCAGGGGCAATATGACTACTTATTCTACTTGCATTGTGCTCTTTAACTCTAGTCTCAACAATACCAGCTAGTTTTATATTATTGGTTTTCAAGTAATTTTTCATCTGCTTCTGCTTGTACCATTTATTCACACCCCTGACATTCCAAAATAACCAAGTCATTATATGTTATGATTGTCTCCTCTTCTATCTAGAGGTGGGGACTGACTTACACCATGACCCCTTTTTGAAGCCACCATTTTATTTCTGCTTGTAGAAGGTGATATCATACGAAACTTTATCAAGTTCAGTTCTGGACTAACCATTTCCTTATCTTTACTTCTTTATAAGTCTGGCTTCTCTGGCTTAACTTCTTGTGGCTGCGAATTCTTTTATGCCTCTACTTGAGAATTAAGTTGGCTTTGTTGAAGTACAATGGAGATCCCATTTTAATTTCCTTGAGGCTCTGTTTCTACTACCATATGTCCCTTAGTTATCCGTTCGTAGGTAACCTTTTTTGGTTCTCTTCTTCTTCTAGGTTGCCCATCTTGTTGCATTTTAGGGCCTTGTTAGTTAGCACATTTATGCCTAATAGCTTGGCATTTATCACAGTAGATTGGTTTTTACTCATACACCAACTTTTGCTGAAATTGCTAACCTCTAGGATCCATCAGTGACTTCTGTTGGTAAGGTTTTGGTTACATTAGTCTCTATTACCATCCTCGCATATGAGATATATGTTTGCTTGGTGGTACATTCGTCAGCAAATAGTGGCTTCCCAATTGCACTAGCAATCTTACTTAAAGATTCACTCCTGCAACAATTCATTGGGAGCTTAGGTTGGATCACCCACATTGGTATTTCTGTAAGGAATTCCTTACTCAGATCAAAATCAGGTGTCCATGGTTTCCGGATGATTGGCCTGTTGTTGATGGTGTAAGGACCAACATAGAATATTTTATGCATATCAACCATCAACTGAAACTTAATAACATAGTACCCCTCCTCAAGCAGGAATAAATCTGGTTATGCAATTTTTGACAAGAGGGGTTGCTCCGATGGTAAACAACCTCCACTTCCAACCAAGAGGTTGTGAGTTCGAGTCACTCCAAGAGCAAGGTGGGGAGTTCTTGGAGGGAAGGATGCCGAGGGTCTATTGGAAACAACCTCTCTACCTCATGATAGGGGTAAGGTCTGCGTACACACTACACTCCCTAGACCCCACTAGTAGGATTATACTGGATTGTTATTGTTGTTGATCTACATATCTCTTCATTGTATTATACCCAGAATTGTCCCTAATTATGTACGCGATCATAACACATCTCCATTTCTCTTCCTCTTCTGCAACATCATGTAATTCCACCTGCACCATTGTTTGCCCATCCACTATTTTTGGTGGAATATATCTGAGTGCCATTCCATATGTTGCTGCCCTATTTTGTTGAAACAAGCTTGTCCAAGGCTTGGGCTTCCGACAGTAGCTTTGCATGTTTCATTGATGTGTACTTGGATTTTCTCACTCTCAATCAGGTCCATGTTAGGTCCAAGTGTATCAATTTTGCTTATATTGTCCTGCTCATGTACTTTCCCCTTGTTTATATTATCACCGGTACCAATCTCCAAATTAGGGCTAGCTACAAGTACTGTTCCATTGGTTTTCGCTGGAGAGTGCTCCTTGTTTGGTTGTTCCTTCTGATTAATTGATGGAGAATCACTGAGATTTAGTTTCTTGCTTACCCCAGTGGCCCTCGATGTTGATCTGATTTCCATTGAACTCATCGTCATCCCCTGCATTTTCGGCGTCCTCATAGCTTGTTCCTATGGTGGATTCAATTTTCCAGCCTGTGTTCTAGTACTTACTGAGCTCCCGAAAGCAATTATGGGTAGTTTTTAGGATCTTCCTCGTCCACGACCTCGCCCTCTTCCCATGGCAACCGCACTAGTGCACGTTAACTAACGTGCGCTTATATATATATATAGAGAGAGCGCGCAATAAAGTGTTGTTTTATCGAAAAATGATTTCTTCTTACAATTGGTCAATCTTTTTTCTCTTCAAGCTAATCTTTAGCTTTTTAAATTTTTTTCCCTAAGTGAAATTCAGGCCTAAGGTGACGTTTAACATTTTTATCAAAATTTAGTGGCTAATGAATTAACCTAACTTTTTGCTTCTTCTTCAGGATATAAGCCTAATAAGGTAGCCGTTAAAAACTTAGTACTAAGTACTTGACAATGTGCTTGAAAGCGAAGGAGGAAACTTTCCAGGGGGACAGAGCCATCTGTGTATCACTTTGGAATCATTTGAGTCTTATATATTATAGTTGAGTTTATCATTTTCCTATCACCTAATGTAAGACAACAGTTTTATTACGTATTTACGTTCTATCGCTATTATTTCAGAACAAAATTTGGTTCTCCCGTCTAAATAGAAAGATCATCTGAGAACAGAGTCTCTGTCTTATAACTAGGGGTAGTTTTGGAATAGAATTTCTTTCTGAAAGACATTGGTTAAGAAGGGAGGATTTGAAAAAAGTTGAAGATAGGGAATTGATTAAAAAATGAAAAAATAAAAAGGTATTGGAATATTTCTAGCCATATAAAACATTTTGCAACGAACTGTATTGATCGTTTCCTCCTCATAAATGGCCACTTCCTTAATGCTTATTGAATTATATGCCACTTTCGCAAGTTATTCATTAACAAGTGATTGCATTCTTATCATCTTTAAATCTTAATTTGCAGAATTTTTTCTTATCTTTGATTAAATAGTATAAGTATTCATTTTGTTAATGACTAATTTATTAGATGCTATGCCTTGTTGTATATATAATTTCACCTTCTTGTATCCTAATCACATCACATCTTTGTTCATTGTTTTCTTGCATTTATTCATGTAGAGCATACTAAGGACAATTCTCATAAAAGATGTAAATACGAGGTTGTTGAATGTTGAAGAGGGATTTTTGAATACTCTGCTTTTTCCTCGTGTTTGCTTAAGATACATACGATAAAGGTGTCAAAATTAGTTCAGATTTAGACAACTCACATATGAAGATCCAATATTGGATAACTTGAGTGAGCGACATCATTTAATGTGGGTCTAACTTGGTTTGAAACGTCAAAGTTTGAAGTAATATGGATAAAAAAGGACAGCCAACTTGGTCGATTCATAACCTTGTAGTTTGACCAAAAATAGTTATCACTCCAGCTAAAAGATTTAATGTTCCAACCCGTTAATCAACTAGTATTTAAAACTTATTGATCCGATTAATTCGGGTTCGAGTCTGGCACGAAAAGTGGACGTACAACACTTCCTAGTAAGAAGTTCTCTATTCTTAGAACTCGAACCTAGAACTTGTAATTAATGGTAAAGAAATTTCAACTACTCACACTTTTAGTGGTAGAATAAGTCATAAGTAGTATTTTACTCAATTTTGACCCGACCCAACCCGATCGTATTTGAGAACCCAAGTAATTTAAAAATTTTAACGAAGAACTTTTACATTCCTTTGGTGCTCATGCTATTGCTTTACGTGTCCTAAGAAATACCCCGAACAATGAACAATATACTATTCTTTTATCAACTTATATGTGCTCTTTGTATTACGTTGTTTTCTACTTTTTAGTTTTTATTGCATACAGCATAAATATATAACTATAACAGAAGTTCAAGTCCTAGTAATTTGCTAAGCGTAAGGTTTAGGGTTGAGATTTCTCCACCCTCATATATGAGCGATAACTGTCTATGCTAGGACAAGTAGTAACTGCAACGGAGGAGAGAAAATCCTTTCCTTAGATACGTCAACGTAAGATAGTTGAGAATTACAGCACTACTACTTCGTGCATCCTAGAGGTACAAAATTAGATTTTGAATTATCACTCTGATTTTCGTTTTTCCTTTCCTCGTAATTGGTCATCTCAACGCCAAAAAAAAATGGTAAATTTTTAACCGAAACCATTGGTCAAACTACTCATAAAAAAGCACCATCTAAACTTAAGAGGCCTAACTAAGGATATTTCTCTCACATACTCCAAAATACTTCGATGCAGAAATAGTGTTTCCAGAACACTTCAAACTACATGCCCAAGAATTCTCATTAGTCATATCAACTGCATCAACCCAGATTGAATATATCTTCGCTCTGTTGGTTACTCAACTCCAAGTCCCAAAACTAGTATACTCCTGTCTCTGCAATCTCTCGCCATACAAAGGGGAACTGATTTCTCTAGTAAGTCACCTGCGATTAAGGTAACTTTAACTGATGTCAGTATGTTAGGTGCAGTTTTAACCATATGAGAAAATAGGCTCATGCAACCATTTTCAGGTCCAGGTGAGGTGGTGGTTTTGATGAGGTCAATTTCCTCAACTGTATGGTGCATGGAATTCAGAGAAAAACTAAACAGTAATTCTAATGATCACATAAAACATTATTCAGGAATGCAATAGATGCATTAAGAAACCAGAGCAAGTCTAGTAACTTTCTTCTCCCACCCTTCCACATGTTACATCTAATAAAAACAGCAATGTCTACAATTAACCAATCCACCTTGGTTTGCACAAATTAAATCTTTTCTATTCTGGAAGTTCCACTGGTGAGGGCAGTAGAGGGGACGTTGATTATACATAATGCAATGTTTCATCATTCAGTGACAACGAAGATAATCATGAAACTGATCGTGATATGCAGATCTATTACATACATTTTACATTCTAGAACAAGCTAAAATAACTTAGTAAAATATAAATTCCATCATCTAGTTAGCTGTTAAATTTCAGGCTTCACCTTCACATCTCCATTTGGTAACAGACTTTGTGCTTGAGCCAACCGTTTTGCTTCCTGCTCATACAAAAACAACATAAACTAATTGCTATGACAACCAGAAACTAGCAATAACATAGGCAAAAGTTTCAAGAGCAGCTCTATGGTCGAAGCATATCAAATAATCAAAAATTGAACAAGACAAAGCCGTCTTTCACAAAATACTTCTCAGTGATGCATCAGAGATTATATCATGAAATCTTATAAGACGAATTATTTTGATAAGCAGTGAATGTTCCATGAATTAATACTGCAATGCCGTCAAGCTGCACAAAAAGCTGTAAACTGAAATTCCAGCACTGATTTTGCGCAACTATAATTTCCAGAGCATAAATTCCTAATATTCCTCACTTAGGAAATTTGATCTAAGCATAAAATCTAACATATATATAAAACCAGTTAATCGTTCCACAGGAAAGGAGGGTAACATACTAAGAACCACCACCACAACCTACTTTTGCAAACTTAAAAGGTAAAACAAATAAATATATCCGCAATCTAATTAAGCTTTTAGATGAAGCGGTCACACAATTTAACATGGTATTTATGCAGACAACCTAGGGTCAAGTCACATTACTACCGGAAAGAACTTAGGTGTGCTTGGCACCCTAGAATTAAAAAAAAAAAAAGAAAAAACAAAGAGAACCCTGCATGGAGGTGTGTTGCAAAAATGCATACTCTATCTAACAGCTAAAACTTTTAGATGAGAGTGTGACCAAATAACACTTTTTTAACTATCAAAAATAACAGCCTAGTTTCAGGCATTTTTCTTATTCTACATCAGAGGACCCATCAGAAAGATAATTGACATTCTTTTTTTTCCAGTACACTGTAAGGTAAAATCATCCTTAGATGGAATCTCAAACATTCCCAAATAATCCTAAACGAGATCAGGTCTTCATTAACCCAGTCAATGAGAGGACTTTACATTTCTAGAAAAAGGTCATTTGAACTTCTTGAGCAAACAAAGTCTTTTTTGCTTCCATAAATTTTGTATTATTATGCATCTTCTTGATGCCAGCAATGAAATCTATTATTACTTCATCAATAAAAAAAAGTCATATACATCTCCTAAATCAAGTAATTTGTGCTGAATCTATAAGATGGTCACCAAAGGAGCATAAACCTTTCAGCTATTCATAGATATACACTCGCTATATTAATTTGAAATGCAGTGTTGAACAAGCAAATGAAACTTACGGCTGCAGAAGCTGCACGAATTTCCCTATAAGCTTCCACTTCCTCAGGGAAAGCCTGTTCAAGCTCCTCCAGGAGATGCCCTCGCAAACCCTGTGACAAAAGAGAGAAGAAGTTATACATTCGAGGCTTTTCAAAATTGGACGAAAAACTCTAGTAAAACAAAGGAAATAGCCCTAGAATGAAAACCACAGTTGAAGGGATCAAACAATGGAAGCAGTGCAAAGAAGTTAAGAGTAGTAGACTAGTAGTTGCTGTCATATAATTAGCAGGAAGGTCAAGGTTAGCATTAGGAAGAGATTTTCACGAAGAGAAATATTATCATGAGCAGATAAAACAGTAAATAAGATAAATATAAATTTTCCTTAAGCAAGGGAAGAGAGGGTTTGGAGTGGGAGGTAGAGAGAAGTAGCATATCAAAAGTTATCCTCAAGTCTACGCTCTCAAGGATGAACGCCGAAGACAAAATGATAAAACCTAATGAGTGATTTCAACCTTTTTCCCTATTAAACCTGCACAGTAAAAGTTCCCGGTGCATATCAGAAGGTTCTTATAGGAATATCTTCTAACAGGCACCATCCATGCAGCACTATAGCGGAATGAAGTAAATTTTTCCAGTAGTAATATCATTTTAAATTGGATTGATTATTCTCCTCGCTTCATTAATTGTAGAAGTCTTTAGCTGTTGCAGGACTAGCTCTTTCCATTCGAGCAGTTACACCAACAACAATACGAAGTAAGCCTCAACCATAAACTAGCTGCACACGGCTATAAGAATCCCCACTATCCAAAAATTTTCCAATTAAACTCATTCCATCATTCAATAAATCTATTTAGTGAGCTTTAGATTAGCTCTAAGAGCTTCAGATTCTTTCCAACCCTAAACCATTCAAGCAGTTAATTTTTTTAATCAAGAAAATACAAAAATAACTTCAAACAGTTATTTAATTAACAAATATTTTAAATCTGAGCTTTAGATTTGGTCTAAGAGCAATAAGGAGATGCGCAAAAACTAGAACAGCACTCAAACGTATCTTTTTCCATAAAACAGATCCAGAAAGCAAGGAGTGAAAACTCGATGTTTTTTTTTATATGGGCACCATCGTCCATAAGAGTTAAGACCGTCTAGAATATAGCTACGCTAAGACAAATATATTATATCATGTTTCTCCATTGCACATGTTAGTGAAAATGACTCAAAAAGAAGGGGCATTTCATAGGTCCTTAGCATTTGAACTAGAAGTAATATAAGTTTCCACGACCATTTAGGTGAGAAGTTTCACACTTTTTGGTAAAGGCCTCTCCTTCCTTTAATTCTTCTTAAACTTTTACCTTTTCATTTCTATATAATATTTTTCTTGTTTATTTAACATACTCTTCTTTATGACTACTTTTTATCTCCAAATGACATACAACTGATCTTACTCTCTATCACCGGTCATTTTCTCCCTCAGGATCCTTAGGTAGCTCAGTGTTTAAAAAAGCGCTCGCTTCATCGCTTTAAGCGAGAAGCGAGGCGAAGCGTGAAAGGCAGCGCTTCAGCTTGCTGAAGCGACTCAGGTCAGTAAAAGCGACCGCTTCTCTGTAAAAAGCGAGAAGCGGGGAAAGCGAAGCGAAGAGAAGAAGCGTCCGCTTCTCTGTATTAAAATACCCAACCCTATTTTATTAAAAAACAAGTTTTTTGGATTAAACACTGATCTTCAACAACAGCGACTAGTATTCTTCAACTTCCAACAGCAGCGACTTCTTCTTTATCATCTACTTCTGATTTCTGAAAGAATCTCAAATCATCAACTAGGGTTGTTCTTCTTCTTCTTCTTCAACTTCAAGTTCAAGACTTCAACAGGTATGTTCTGAACTTCTGATTTCCATTCTTCTTCTTCTTCTTCTTCTTCTTTCTAAACGTCCAAAAAGCAGCGAAATGCTGGCGAATTTTTTCTAGAATTTTACTGCCCAATTTTTCCAGAATTTTACTGCCCAATTTTTCCAGTTATTATCAGAGAATTCCTATGGTTTTTTATATCCTTTATAATTTATTCTTAGTTCTTATTGCCTTTCTTATGTGTTATGTAGTTGTTCTTTTAATGGCGCCAAANGGTAGCTAAAACAAGCACAAAACACAATAAATTGTCCAAAATAAGGTTCAGGTCAAATTGACGCAGTGAAATACAAATCCAAATTTCTAAGACTTCCAGGAACCCATTAAGCCAAATGTACACTCTAAACAGTATTAAAGGCATTGAAGTGAAAAACAACCTTGAATGCATCTGTTTTCCCCTTAGTGACTTGGTTCTTGGCAATGCAACTATTCAACACATCCCTCGTAAATTCATCTGGATTCTTCCCATCATCAATCAAGCTATAACAGAAATTACCACGTATGAATACCAAAAATAAAAACATAATAAGAAAAATAAGTTTAGGATAAACAAGTATATTACTTCAGAACCTCCATAGGCACTTGAATATTGCATTTTTCTCCCAATTTCGCCGTATTATCCAGCTCCAGCACAAGATTGTTCCTAAAATTAAAAATAAAAAAAATTAAAGCAATAAAAAAAGGCACAAGAATTACGATTATCGAAAGTACAAAGCTAAAAAAGAACTATACGTACAGACGTTGAAGAAGGGGAAGTTGAGAGGAAACATTGTAAGAAGAGACGGTGAGATAAAGCTGGTGGAGAATTCCTAGGGTTTTGTCGATCGAATTTATGACTTGATTGAGATTTTGTTTTGACTCCTCGGCCGGTGAACCGGCGGTGGAAGCAGCAGCGGCCGTCGAATCGGCCGGTGATGCGTCGTTGGACTTAGGGTTTATTATTCCGTTGCCGCCGACAGAGTTATTCTGCGATGAGTCCATGTGCTTATGTTTGGATTTGCAAATCCGATCAGCGGATAGACGCAAAGAGAACTGCGAATTGGAGAATAGATAGCTTTGCTTTGCTAGTCACTTGTTGCGATGTGTTAGATATAGGTTTGGTCGGTTAATTAAGACATATATGCGTCCTATAAGCAAGATTGATTAAATAATTTATCTATATTTATATTTATATTATTATAAAAATAAAAACTCTAAAACTAAAAAATTAAATTACAAAAATATCCCTCTTAATATATTAATTGTCCTACCTAAGAAATTAAATAAAAAAAGGCGTCGGATAGCAAATAGTCACAACCATTCATATTTTTCATACGATGATACTCTATCATTCCACTTCACGAGGCAAGCCAAGATTTTCTGGACTGAAGTACATATTGTTTGAAGTTAAGTGTTTAAATTCTTTTTCACCACTCAAAGACCTTTCTTTTATTCTCTTGTAAAACTTCCACGTCCAATAAATCTCAATTACTTTCTCTTTTTCATCATAATTAAATACGTTATTTCATAACAAAGAAAAAAGTATGCTCTTGGGTTTTTCAGTGTTATTTCGCTAGCCTATACATCATTCTATGAGAAGATTTCAGGTTGATTGGTTTGCTGCTTTGATATATTATTTAGTAGATTGGAACCCTATAATTTAAAGTTAAATTACCTAAATATCTTTCTTATTTAATAAAATAAAATACCATTGTTAATAACATAAATGGTTATTTTGATTATTTGGTAAGGGATACAATATTTCATTCAAATTAAAAGTTACATGAGCCATTTGGATTACTTGGCAAAGGATGCGTACATAAGCCACCAATGGTCACGTGGATGATCATCTCACTCCATATAGATTATCTTTAACCAGATAAATTCAAACCATTTCAAGCAACCATAAGAAACAAAATCAACAACACCCACAAAGGAAACATGAATTCCTTCGATGAGGCAAAATGCACCAAAGGAGACTCTGTGGTAATTTTTTAGACTTCATTGATTAATACTTCATCAAATGTATTTTACTCCTATTTACTCAATAATTTCTTTAAAATACGCATGTATATTCTTTTAATATTCTTGACATTTAATTGAAAGTTAAGGCTTCTCCATTTTATATGTTACTCTATTAATACGGACATACTTAACGTTTACTTATGAACCAAAGGTAGTTGTAATTAGTTAACTTATTTGTTAATTTTATCATAATCATTAATTAATATAATATTTAATTATAAAATTCGGGTGTGATCATATAACCTTATTGGTGCTAGGAGAAGAAGATGGTGAAATGCTACAAAAATTGATTAATGAAGCACCTGTTGTAGCACTATATTTTGTTACGGGTACAATATACCAAAGGTAGTGTATCAAAAAAATTATATTTATAGTAAATTCTTTATCTTTTAGATTATACTTAATCTTTTTCTTTTTATATTTTAGAAAGAAATTTCGTGATACTCCACTATAGTTGTTAATAGTATACTCATAAATGTAACGTTTCAAAAAGCTATATCTCTTCAAAAATGATAATCATATGACTTGATTTTTTAATTTACGAAATTATTACTAAAATTTATTATTTATTATGTAATATTTAATTGAAATACATGCATAATATGTATAAAAGAACAAAATTAAAAAATAACTGTAATACATATATTGTTAAAAGAGGCCATAGACGTGAAGATTGGGGATATCATAATTCATTTGACCATATAGAGGTACATTCTTCCAATCACTTTAAAAAATAAATAATTAACCTAAATGGTCGCACATCCAACTGCTTAAACTGAAAATAGCCGATGAATATATAAATATGTATAATTCATATATAAAAATTATATAACTATGTATAATAAGTGTATAGTTTATCTATATCAACTAGAAAAAAATTAACAACAAAAATTCGCATGTTATTTGTGTAATGATCCCTTAAAAAATTATACGCTTTTTAGAGTGTATTCAATCTAATCATTTATAGAGAGAGATATTTAATGCAAATATAAAAAAACTAATGAATGACCCAAGCATTTTTTCTAGCAAGAAAGTAAATTTTGTAAATGATATTGCTGTACATCATTGTTCTAGCATTGAAAATCTTGATTACAGCCAAAGGAAAGCACTTATACTTTTCAAATCTTTTCCTACATTTTTCTATATCACTAAATAAGTCAATAGTTTATGTATGTTTGTTGATACCCTCTAAAATTTTAGGTATTTGAGGATAAAGAATGTAGAATTTCCTTTGTCCCAATTTATGTGATACTCGTTTATTTTTAGTAAATTTCAAGATGAATGTCACGTTTCCTTATCTAGAAATAATTTATTTTTAAAATTTATGCTTTCAATGATTTAAAGTCATACAAATATTTATAATTTATTTTAGACCACAAATTTCAAAAAATTTTCTTTCTTTCGTAAACTCAGTGTCAAGTCAAACATCACCACATAAATTAGAGCAGGGGGAGTAATATTATACTCTTTGAAGTTATACGATATTTGTTTGGTTGCGATATTAAAACGTATACAATCAATCTCTCAAAATGTTACATTACCTTTTCATTTAATATTTAATTTACAAAACATATAAAGTAATAATATTTTCCTTATCTTGTAATGATCCTTTTAAAATAACATACTAACTTTTTTAGTACAAAAAGAAGAATTCTAATTATATCGCAAATTGGTGTTGAGTAAGAATAAAAAAATTCACATTGCTTATAAAAGTTGAAACACAAAATTGAGGAGATCAAGTTACAAGACATTTAACTGAAGAGAAGACACATGAAGTTGAAAAGGTTGGTGCAATCGAAATTGAAGATGAAGATATAAACACTAAGATAACAATCGAACACCAAAAGTTTTGAAGAAGACAATGGTGATATCCAATATAATTATTATTAGGAACGATAGAAAAGAAAATACAACTAGAGTATCATATATAATGAAGTATACACTTTATTACATGATTATCACAAAATATTCAAAATGAGTAAAAAAAATCACATGCATTTAATTAAAATTTAATTGTTCATCTTTGTAGATTTAGACGATATTCAATCATTTTAACTTCGACAAATAAGTGACGATACACGTTGATTATTTACACAAACTTATATTTTATTCTTTCATGTATAATTTTTTCCTCAATTGTTTTTAAAATTTTATTGATATTAATTTATAAAATCATATATATATAACTCGGTATACACGTGCAATGCACGTGCCAAGAAACTAGTAAATATAAAAACATAAGTAAACTTATTTTCAAATTTAAGTTATATACACCTTTTACTGTAAAGTATTTTTTATTTTTTTTATATTAGCAGATCATTCAAATAATGATATTAAATAAATTACGTGCTACCTATAATAGGTCAAGATGATTTGATAATGTAAAAATTATATTACACTACTTATGTATATAACTTAAACTCCATTTTAAAATCAAATTTGAATGTGACTAAGTTCTATAATTATATGCATAAACTATTAGAGCCTACTATTTATTTAATATAAAACAAAAAATTATTTAAGCCCACTGAAAGTGTACATTTTTGGCTATTGTGATCATTTGGTGACCATGGAAATAGTGTTGTAATTTTTATGTGACAAAATAAAGTTTTATGACTTTATTATAAAATATATATATAAATATGTAACGAACTGTGAAATTTGACCCCTAACACTTTTCCCTGGAAGACTTCAATCTAGATATTAAAGACCCTTGGTTGCCGAATTCCACTAACTCTTTTCCCTGAAAGACTTCAATACGCGGAAACAATGCTAGAAGTTGATTCTAGTTGCCATTCTTTTCCTAAATCTGTTGTCTTTGAAATTATCAGTGATGGTGAAGACAAAACTGAAATACCTCATTAGAAAGTGTATTATAAAATTGTATACGGGTAAAACCGAGCCTACTGAATAGCTCGATTTCCCGGTGAGTCAAATGGAGCAGGAACGTAATTGTAATGAATCGGAGTCAGAGCGAGGAGCCCCTCGTATCGGGGCTCGAACAAAACACCTACCCTCGGGGGTATCAAGACCACGTCTTCCAGGTTCGGTTCGAGGATCAAGACTCCGGAAAGCATTACCAAACAGATGCACACGACTAACAAAGGGCAGTGATGTCTGTGCCCAACCGGATATCGCGGCGTGAATCTCGCCCCGTATCGGCAGAAAATCAGTGATTAGCAAAACAGAAGATTTTTACCTTTCATAGAATTGTATTTAGCGTAAAACTCCCCTACTATATAAAGAGGAAGCTTATTATTCATGAGGGATATTGTAACACGCATATCAAGGCAATTTGTTACAATTCTCTTTGTTGTTCAAAGTTCTTACCTTTGTTCTTAAGTTCTTCATAAGTACAAGCTTGGAATCGATGGCAGGTTCTTCGTCGAGCCATCAATCGAGCCCGGAATCACCCTTATCATTGGTTTGATCATTTATTACGTCTTTCATTTGCTTAATCTAACGTCACTAATCACTCGTATTGAATTAATCCACATATCCTTAAAACCACATATAAATTCAATTGTTATCAATTTTTTAGGGTAAACAGTTTGGCGCCGACCGTGGGGCTAGGGATAATAGTGGTAATTTGGTACAAATTTTCATAACGCACTCTATTTTACACTTGTTCTTTGAAATTTTAATTTCAGGTCAAATAAAAAATGTCGAACTCTCAATTTGCTCATTTGAATGTTGATGTTGATTCTAGCCACCATGGCGAGAACAATAATGTAGTGCCCAGCAACGAGGTGCCTCCTGTTGACCCCAACGGAGTTCCAGTTGTGGACCCGATCGATGCTAACTCACATGCGACTATCGACGCAAACTTGCCTACCGACCCCGAAAACAGAATTCGTGGAGGAGCCCAATCGATAGCCCAGGTTACACATGACGGCGAAGGTAATGGGATCAATTTGCGGGTGATCTTCAAAATGTTACAGGCTCAACATGCAATGATAGCCCAGTTGTAAAACCAAAGTCGCGCCCCCGGCAGAGTTGAGCCCGAACCATCCCGGAAACACACCCGCAGAAACGAACCAGCCACGAAAAGGTCGGGTGAAGTTGAACCCGGGACCAACCCCGAGATAATAAAGATGCTTG